TCAGGCCTGCATGCCCACTCCCTGTCCTCAAGGCACACCGGACATTCCTGGAGCTCACCGGACATGCCTTGAGCTCCAACATAAACCATCTGAGTTGTGGACACCCAGACTCTGCATCCCTTAGGGTTCAGAACCCTACATTTACAATGTACTGAGTACTTTACTTATCTCTCCCTTATGGTGCTGGGTATGGGAACTCAAGAGCTTGGACTTCAAGGGGAGTGCTCTGCCTCTGAGCTATGTCTCTGGCTCATCTCTCTCTTAATTTTTTAAAAGTTTATTTTCTTATTTTATATGTATGTGTGCTTTGCTTGCATGTATCTGTGCACCATATGTGTGGGTGGTGCCAGGAGAGTCCAGAAGGGTCATGAGATCCTCTGGGACTGGAGTCATAGATAACTGTGAGCAGTCCTGGGGACACTGGAAAGCCACCACCACTGAGCTACCTGTTCCCCTTATCTTCCGTTTAAAAGAATTTGTCCCCTGTGCCTGTGACTCTTCCTTGTTACCTTGTTTGGAGTCACCATGGAAACACACTTGTGAGTGTGGCTATGAGGTGTTTCTAGGAAGGTTTAGCTGGTGGTCCAGGCTGAGTAAGAGGGATACAGTACATCGAGCACTGGGGCTTGTTTCTGTCTCATGACTATGAACATAGAGTGACCACTGTGCCTTCCCCACTAGGATGGACTGTGGCCCCTTGAACTATAAGCACAAATAAACCCCGTCTTCCTTAGGATGCTTTTTGTTGGGTATTTGGTAACAGCAAAAAGAAAGGTAGCTACCACACCCTCACTTTCAAGTAGGACTTGTACAAGGTAGGTAACAAAATATTTTTTTCTTTTCTTTCTTTCTTTTTTTTTTTTAGACAGGATTTCTCTGTATAGCTTTGGAGTCTATCCTGGAACTTGCTTTATAGACCGACCAGTCTAGCCTCAAACTCAGAGATCTGCCTGCCTCTGAGTGTTGGGATTAAAGGCCTGTGCCACCACCGGCAGGCACATGACTTCTATCTTATGGGGTCTGGGAATCAAACTCTGAGCCTCAGGTTTGACAGCAAGAGTCTTTATCCACTAAGATATGTTGCTACATCACCACCACCCTTCTTTTTTTTTTTTTAAGCAGGGCCTTAGGGACTGCCTGGTGTCATATACCAGGTGTCATATAGGCTCCGGACACATGACAGAAGAGGTGACTTCCCCTGTGAGATCTCCTGTGAGAAGTGCTGGGGTGACTTCCCCCAAGAAGCTAACATTCCCTGCATCACTCCAAGCTAGATTCCTTGTCCTCACGGTTGGGGCTCACAGCAGAGAATGTGTTGAAAATGCAGTTTCCCACCTTCCCACCAAACTCCAGGAAACACGGTGGGGGAAATTGACCTTGCCATTAATAGGTCATACAGGAAACAGGGTGCACCAGAAGTGTAATTAAGGTCTATATTCAGAAAGGCCTCATAGTCACGGACACTGGTTAATTAATAATCCCCAACTCCTTCAAGGAAGCTACTTTGGGCTTCAACCTCCTTCCATCAAAGCATTTCAAACACAGGGTCATTAGACTATCTAATCCCACCTTATAAAAGAAACTGATATCTGGAAACAAAGTTTAAGTCTGATCATAGCTGATCTGATTCCAAAGGAAAGGGACATTTTCTGAGGTCCTCTCTCAGTGACCAGAATTTTCTTAGTCTTTATATATATTTGCTTTTTGAGACAGGGCTTCTCTGTGTAGCCCTGGCTGTCCTGGAATTTGCTCTATAAACCAGGCTGGCCTTGAACTAACAGAGATCTGCCTCTGCTTCCTGAGTGCTGGGCCATCATTTCATGCTGTAAGAACATGTTGTCTGCCTGAAGATTATTAGACAACAGTCAGTTCACTACATGGCTTCGGCATGTCAGTCATCTTCAACTCAGGAGCTCTGTAAATGCACTTTATCTGTCTTCTTAGAAGCTGCAGGAGATACAAGCTCAGAGATTTCCAGATTGACGTTCTGAAGAGTGTGGGAAAGGCAGGAACTTGTGTGTCATATGAGCAATGTTACAAGGCAGTAAAAGTTCTTTTGTGGGGAAACTTCTATTAGAACTGAAAATGGGCACCCTACACCAGTGGCTAGGTAAGTTACAGAAGAAAATGACTCATATTCATGGTATATAAAAAAAAAATCCATAAAAGGGACCCAAAGCATCTTGAAATGTGTCTTGAGTCTTTTTTGTTTGTCTTGGTTTTTCGAGACAGGGTTTCTCTGTGTTGTTTTGGAGCCTGTCCTGGAACTTGCTCTGTAGACCAGGCTGGCCTCAAACTCAGAGATCTGCCTGCCTCTGCTTCCTGAGTGCTGGAATTAAAGGTGTGAGCCGCCGATGCCCAGCAAAAGGATTGTATGATCCTGGAACTTCTTTTTAATGATTTATTCATTTAGTTTTTAATGTGCATTGGTGTTTTGCCTGTATAAGGGCATCAGACGCCTGGAACTGAAGTTGTAAGAAGTTGTGAGCTGCCATGTGGGTGCTGGGAATTGAACTCAGGTCCTCTGGAAGAGAAGCCAGTGCGCTTAACCACTGAGCGATCTCTCCGGCTCCTGTTTTGAGTCTTTACCATAATGCAATTATCTGTTCCAGATGTTGCCAAGGGCAGAGGTGTCGTAGTTCACATTCTTAGGTTGCAGCTTGAATCATTCAGAGAGTATCACCATGGCTGTGCACACAGGAACTTTACTACTTTCTGCATTTCTTTATTTATTTTGGGACAGGGTTTTACTATGTATCCTTGGTTGGCCTTGAACTTACTAAATAGACCAGGCTGGCCTCTGTTTCCCAATGTGGGACTAAAGGCATATGCCGCTACTCCTGGCAAGTTTTTGAATTTGATAAAACATTTCCCAACATTAATGCTTGATGTTCCTAAGATAAAACAAAACCAAACAAAATAAAACAGTCTGTTGATGGTGGCTTAAGCCTTTAATTCCAGTACGGGAAGGCAGAGGCAGGTGGATGTCTATGAGGCCAGACTGGTCTACAGATTGAATTCAAGATAGCCCAAGGCTACAACAGAGAAACCCTGTCTCGAAAAACAACAAAAAAGAATTACAGCCTGGTTTATAGAGTGAATTCCAGAGTTCAAGGACAACCAGGACTATGAAGAGAAACCTCTTGAAAAACCAAAATAAACAAATGAACAAGAACAACGAAAATAATTAAGCAGGGTTAGTGACCTTGGGGATGTACCTAATACGTGTTTGGCAGAGTTCTGGGTATTGGGGCTGCTCAGGAAGCTTTCTTCTCAGAGATTTGCCTTTTGTTTTCCGTTTTTCCACTCAGTATGTGGCCCTGGTCACAGGGGTGGCCCCTGCACTGTCTGTGTGAAGTGGAAACTCTGAGGGGCTGACCCAAGAACATTTCTTAAAGACGGCCTTCACTCCCCCGCCCCCCCTTTAGTCCAGGATAGTAGATTTTCTCATAGGATTTCACATTTTCAAAGGAATCTGAATAGTTTTAAAGACCATTTACAAATTGACTGATAGGCAACTTTACATATACACACAATGTATCTTGATCAGATCTACTACCACCCCCCCCACTCCTCCCACATCATGGCCTTTTTGTTCAACCCCCGAGTTCAATCAGTACGACCTTGATGCACTTGGGAGTGCAGCCATGCATCAAAGTAAGAAAAATAACTCCTCTTCCCCCATCAGCCATCAGCTGCCAACAGCTCCTCAGCTATGGGTGACGCCTCATGACCCCTTTCCCCTCTGTGAGTCATGTCTTTAGGAGAGCATTTCACACCACACCTTCCCAATTCCCAGCTCTTATGGCTTTCCATCCCCTGCACCATGATGGTTTCTGAACCTTAGGGGAGGGTTTGATGTGGCTGTCCCGTTTAGAGCTAAGCACTCAACATCCACAGAGTCTCAGTACTTTGACTAGTAATAAGTCTCTGTATTTACTGCTACCCACTGCAAAAAGAAGTCATTCTGAAAATAGCATTAATCCATTAATATAAACATTAAAAGGCAGTTTGACAACATGTCCACTTAGCAAAACATTAGTAGTAGGTTTACTCCTAGGGCCTGTAACCTCCCCAGACATGTTTTTATTTTGACCAGGTTTACATGAATTCCCTCCCATAAGGCAGGACTCATGCAATCAGCAAGTGGTTGTCGAATCCCATAAAATCAGGCACCTCCCTATTGCACCAGAAGGCACATCTTTCCCGGTAAGTGTGATCCTTTTCTCCCCCAGTGACCTGCACACCACCTCCTGACACTATGAAAGATGGCCAGCAGGGAAGAAGTTTCCATATTAGTTCCAGCTTGGTTTCTCCATGTCTTGAATAACAATTGCAATAGCCTGGTGTGTGTGTGTGTGTGTGTGTGTGTGTGTGTGTGTGTGTGTGTGTGTGTCCTCCCTGATCAATAAGGTATCGAGGATAGTGTCCCAAACCTGGCACTGAGATTTTAATTTAATAAAATTTCTTCTGGGAGCAATTAACCATGTTGGATTCCCCCGTTACAACTTTTTTTTCCCGTGTTTGAGTCATTGGCTTTTTAAATTTAATTTAACCTTATGTGTTCAGGTGTTTTGCTGCATATATGGCTGTGCACTTCAAGGTCTGAGGAGGGCGTTTGATATCATGGAACTGGAATTACAGATGGTTGTGAACCATGTGGGTCTGGGAATTGAACCCAGGTCCTCTGGAAGAACAGTCGGTGCTTTTAACCGCTGAACCATCTCTTCAGCCCCATGAAGAGTATTTGGACTCACTTTTTTGTTTTGTTTTTGTTTGCTTTTTGGAGACAGTTTCTCTATGTAGTGGCTGTCCTGGAACTAGCTCTTTAGATCAGCCTGGCCTGGAACTGAAAGGCCTGCACCACCACCGCTCCTTAGCAACGACTCCAGAGCTAATCCATCCTAGTCTCCGGTTTTTTTTTTTTTTTTTTGTCATGGCTCCGCCTATGCCATGACGTAGAATCCCAGTGCCGCTCTGAGGGCCCTGCCCCCAGAGAAGTCGCGGCGACAGCCATGAGTGTCAGCTGGTCGCCTGTGTGGCGTCTGTGGCCGCTGCTGTGGCGCAGGGTGGTCGCGCAGCGAGCGGGCCCCGCGGTGTCTTCGGTTCCTCGGCTTCCTCGGCTGGCAGAGCGATGGCTTTCGGCGGGGCCCGCGACGGGCCTGACCCCGAGCCCGGCGAGCGGCCTGCACCATGGGCCTCAGCCAGAGGAGCGGACCGATGGCGACGCTCGCCCGCCACCCGGAGCCGCAGGTACGCGGGCAGGACGGCCAGTGGCCCGGCCTGAGCTAGGCGGCCCTGGGCTTCCCTGTGCGTTTCCGGCGTGAGTCGCAGAACTTACGCAGCGCTAGAAGGGACCTGAGGGGTGGCGGCCCCCCCCCACTTTCCTATTGCATAGCGAACAAACCTGGAGGCGAGGAGACATGGCAGTCTTCCAAACCCCAGCCATGTGCCTGGTCACACGGGCCCTTGGCACCTCAGCCCCAGGGTCCTCACCTCGCCCCAAGGTCTACCCAGGGTCGTAGGAAGTGGCTTTCTGAGTGTGTTGGGGCGTGAGGATTCTGAGCAGCCTGGTGCTCCTGCCAGTGTAAAATTTAAGATGAGTTGGGGTCCAATTAAGACCCGTCAGTTACTGCCAGCGGTTTTAGAAGCATGAGAGAAGGTCAAAACAAGAAGATACTATCTGACAGATGATAGGATATGAGAGGGTGAGCCTTCGATGGACTTAATTTCCAGGTCCTTTGGAGTCTGCTTTGAACTTAAAGTTACAAATTTATACACTCTAGTATTTGTTTTTAGAACAGTGTCTAAATCGCTAACAAAAAGAAAAAAAAACCCAAAAAACAAAACAAGATAACAGCCTAGATTTAATAAGAAAAACATGTTTCAAAATGAGACCCTCTTAAATTGTTACCTAATTGGTCTCAGCAGCTCTAGTCCCAGTAGCCACGTTACTTTATGCCGGTTGAAGGCTGTGGACCAGATAATGCTGGAGAACCCGCCCACCTCACAATTATAGTTCAGTAGCCTTTTGTAGGTGTGATTCAATCCTGCATGCCCCATGATATTGTCACCTCCGCAAGTCGTGTGGCGTCCATGCATTTGCTGCGTGTTCTTTTCAGTACCAGGGGACAGACAGACCACAGTCTTTGCTACTGCTTTGGTACATTTATTACACTTGCTTTGGTAATAGCAAATGTACTCAGTGTCTGTGTGATCTGAGCATACTGCCTAGAAAGCTGAGCTGTGCTTTAAGAAACTGCTGCCCTGGTTCGTTTTTGAGCTGAATTTTGATTGGTTGGCTAGTTGGTCTCAAGTGCAGATGGTATTGGGAATTGGACCCAGGGCCTTGTATGTGTTAGGCAAGCATCCCTCCACTGAGCCACATTCTCAGGCTTTTTAGTTGAGTTTTTAAATTTTTTAGACATTGTCTTGCTCAGGCTAGTGATGAACTTGGGATCCTCCTGCTGGTGTTCACCAAAGCATTTTGGATATAAATACACTCTTGGAGGAGCAGTACCAGCCTCAAGGAGACTTCTGTGTCAGTCTGCTTCTCTGGATACCTGTCTGTTTTTTCTTGGCCATCTGACACAAGTACTTCTACATTTCAGATCACAGTGGCACCAAGTTTGACATCGATATGCTGGTTTCACTTCTAAGGCAAGAAAATGCAAGAGACATTTGTGTGATCAAGGTTCCTACAGAAATGAGATACACAGACTACTTTGTAGTTGGTAGTGGGACTTCCACCCGACACTTACACGCTATGGCCTACTACATTGTGAAGATGGTAGGATGCTATGCTTTGTTTTGAATCTTTACCTAGAGAATACCTTTAGTACATTAGGGTGGGATAAGCCAGTATGAGAGGCTACAGAGAAAGCCCAGACCTTGGCATTTTCAAGAGTCATTTTATGGTTTTGCATAGTGAAAGGCTTGGGAACAAGTATTTAGCTCTGTTGAATCCAGGTATTTCTAATTCTTGTCTTTTGTGATAGGAAAAATTAATACCCTGAATCAAGCCAGAAGACAGTTCATGTCGAGTGTCCTAGAATAGCACCAGTATGATAGCCTCTAGCTACAAGTGGCCATTGAAAAATTCTTAAAACTTATTTAAAAGAGTTAACATTTTTATTTTATGTGTATGCCCCATGCCCACAGAAGTCAGAGGAAAGGGTGTGATCCTGTAGAACTGGAGTTAAAGGAAGTTGTGAGCTGCCATGTAGTTGTTCATATTGAGCCCAAGTGCTGTCAATCTGAGACAACTCTCCAGCCCTTAAAATCATTTTAAGTTAGCCAGGTGTGGTGACCCCACATCTTTAATCCCAGCACTTGGGAGGCAGAGGCAGGCAGATCTCTGAGTTCAAGGCCAGCTATGCCTACAGAGTGAGATTCAGGACAGCCAGGATTACACAGAGAAACTCTGTCTCTAAAAACAACAAAAATCCACTTTAAATGAAATGGATGTGTATGCCTCGGTGTCTATATGCACGAGTCATCAAATGTGGCCGCCAAACAGGTCCTGTGCTAGAGCAACAAGTGCTCTTAACTGCTGAACCACCTCCTCACTTCCAGAAATGGCTATTCAGATGCAGATCAGACTTTGAAATATAGTTCTTCAGTTAAATGAGCCACATTTTAGACAGTTTCCACATGCGGCTCTGATTTCTGCCACCGTGGACAGCCATATACATTTCCACAATTTCCAAAAAGTCTAGGCAATGCTCCTTGTCCTAGTTTGTTTTGTTTTTTTTTGTTGCTATGGTAACAGCCATGCTCAAAAGCAACTTAGGAAAGGTGTTTTGTTTAAAAGAGGAACTCTGCTTTCTACCTTGCTTATTCTTCCCTTGTTCAGCTACCATAGCCCAGGCCCATCTGCTGGTATGTTCTCCAAACACTATGCAGTATTGGGAAGGTAAAAGTGAAATATAGGTAACCCTTGAATTCATGGTGTGAAAGGAAGAGGGTTCATTTTTCCAGTTCAATGCGATTCAGAACGGGAAGAAAGAGTATACAGACTGCAGCTTCTGGCAAACTGTTACTCCGTTCTACAGGGGAACAGACTACTCTTATTAAAAATTGGTCAAACAAGGCAATTAAGAACAGCTGAGGATGCCTAGAGACAGCTCATAAGATAAAAATGGGTTTGAAAGCAACCACTTGCAGTGTGATAGAGTTTGGGAAGAGAGGAAGATTTTTTTTTTTTTTTTTTTTTTGATACAGGGTTTCTCTGTGTAGTTCTAGTTATCCATTCACCCAGTGATGGATACTTAGGTTGTGTCCAGCTTTGGGCTGTTATGACTGCTACTTTAGTTACCTTGTCGTTCCCCTCCTCCCCCAGCTGAGGACCGAACCCAGGGCCTTGTGCTTGCTAGGCAAGCACTCTACCACTGAGCTAAATCCCCAACCCCTATGACTGCTACTTTAAATATGGGCATAGAGCTGCCTAGTCATGTTCTTGGTTTTAATTATTTTGGATGTGCACCTAGAGGTGTAATATTTGGATCATATAGTCATTCTGTTTTTAACTTTTTTAAAATAAAAAGTAATAAACATCACATAGTGAAATTAACCAGACTTAAAAATCTTTTCTTTCCATGTACCCCAGTCTGTTGACTTGGGCTAGTTCCTATGCTATTGATACTCCATCTAGAAATTCTTACTCCAGTGTCTTAAGAGTATTCTGTTTTTGTCTCCTTTAAAATTAAGTAAGCACAGCAGTTTTACGTCTGTGTCCTCTACTATCCCATTGGTCTATAAATCTTTTAAATTTATAATTTTCTCAGACTTTTAAAGTTGTATGCTTGCTTGCATGTATGAATGTGCACCACTTGTGTGCCTGGTTCCCTTGAAGGTCAGAAGATGTGTTTGATCCCTGGAACTGGAGTTACTGGTGGTTGTGAGCTACTGTGCGGGTATTGAACCAGGTCCCTTCACAATCAATACATGCTCTTAAGTACAGGGCCAACTCTCTTGTCTACCTATACCTGTGAAGTCTATCACTATAACTGTGGTATAATTTAAGGTCAGTATTGTTCTTACTCCTTAGGTTTTGGCTATTTGTGGTCTTTTGTTCCACATACATTCCCCCCCCCCCTTTTTTTTTCTTAAACTGTAAAATATGACTTTGGAATTTTGGCAGGTATTGCATTAAATCAGTAAATTAATTGAGGTAATAAAAGCCATTTTCACTCTTTTGTTCTGAGTGTCATCTGTAGTTTTTTTCAGTGTCCTCAAGTTTCTGTTGTAGAGCTTTCTCTTCTTTGGCAGATGCATTCCTAAATATGTAATTGTTTTTGAAGTTTTGTTCTATTGAAATTTCAAGACAGGGTTTCTCTGTGTAGCTCTGTCTTGGAACTCTCTCTGTAGATCAGGCTGGCCTTGAACTGAGATTTACCTGCTTCTGTCTCCCAAGTGCTGGGATTAAAGGCATCTGGCTTTCAGTTACTATTTTTTTAAAATAATTTAATATATAGTGTTTGAGAATAAAAGCCCCTGGAACAGGAGTGAGCTGTCATATGGGTGCTGAGAAATGAACCCCCAGTCTTTGGAATGGCAGCAAGTATTTTTTCCAATTTAGTTACCAATATAATAGTAACATATATATATATATATATATATATACATATATATATGTATGTATGTATGTATGTATGTATATGTATGCATATACACACACACACAGAGTAAGGTTTTTTCCTCCCGCTGCTGGTCTTGTCCTGCCGCCACGCCAGCCCCAATAAACACACCGAGACTCTGTATTTGATATAATGTTGTTGGCCAGTTACTTGTTTCTTATCGGCTAGCTCTGTCTTAATTATTAACCCATTTCTGTTGATCTATGTATTTGCATGTGCTTTCATCTTACCGGAGAGCAGGGGCCAGGGGTTCTGTTCTCTCCCTTCTCTCCATGCTGACTCCTCCCTACTCCTTCTTCCAATCCTCCTCGTCTCCTAGTCCTGCCTATCTTGCTTTCCTATTGGCCAACAGTGCTTTATTCATTAACCAGTATGAGAAACATATTTACAGAATGACATCTCCCATCATATGTGTGTGTGTGTATACACATATATATACACAATTGCTTTGAGAGTACATTGAGAGTACACTTTGTATAGCTTGAACAGCTTGAACTTATTAGGCTCAAGAGTTTTCTAGTAGACTCTTGGGTCTTTCATGTAAAGAATTGTCATTTACAAATAAGGGTTGGTTTGCTTTTTATTTATTTATTTATTTATTTATTTATTTATTTATTTTGAGACAAGGTCTCAACTGTAAAACATTGGGCTGGCCTGGAACTCAAAGAGATCCATCTGCTTCTGCCTCCTGAGTGCTGGGATTGAAGCCATGTGCCACCATACCTGGCATTCTGCTGAATTTTGCCTACACTTTCACCTTCAATTTAGTAACTTTTACAATCACTTTGGAGATTGCCTTGTGAAAGTCTTGGATAGATGGATAGATTTCCTAATCTGTGAATTTTATAATGTGATTTTTTTTTTTTTTTTTGAGCCTGTCCTGGAACTAGCTTTGTAGACCAGGCTGGACTCAGAGATCCACCTGCCTCTGCCTCCTGAATGCTGGGATTAAAGGTGTGCCCTACCAACGCCCAGTGATAATTAAGTCTTTAAAAAAGATAAACGTCTGAATTCTTTCTCATGCATTTCAGTTATCTCTAGTTTCTCTGGGGAGTCAGTGGTTTGGTATAGGTGGTGGCATCATGTTTTATATGTCTGTTAAGTGGATTTGTTATGACTTCCCTTCTGAGCCTGTTGGATATTTTGTTTTATGAAACTCTCCTAGAGGAGCATTTCTCAAATTGTGGGTTTTGATCCTTTAGGGTCAAATGTCTTTCACTGCGGTCACCTAAGACCATTGGAAAACAGATATGTATGATTCACAACAGTAGCAAAACTATGAAATAGTAAGGAAAATAATTTTATACTTGGTCACTACAGCATGAATTATATTAAAAGACTGCAGCATTAGGAAAGTTGAAAATTACTGTGCTAGAGGAATATGTGCCTGAACTTCAGCTGTGTGGACTGGTGAAACTTGGTGTTGATTGCCAAATTGAGTTGCTTAGGCGATCCTGTGTTGGCTGTGCCAGGAGGGCCAGGGGTGGGACTGCACATCACGTAAGGCAGCCAGATGGAGTCTGAACTGCTAAAGGAAGGATACCAAACTTCAAACCCAAGGAAGTCTGTCTACTATCTGGGGGCTATAGTTAGAGGCTAAGGCCCAAAGTAACCTCTGGGAAATAGCAATATCCTCAGGATCCTGCACATGGACCTCAGATACCATTGGAACCAAAGTTCCAGTTTATCAGGGGACCCTGGCTACACTGGAGTTAAAAAAAAAAAAAAAAAATCAGTTTTGTTGTTAGAGAGTTGTTTTCTGCATATAAATTCTTTGAAATTCTTTGTCAAATATGTATGTGAGCTGCAAATCCTGCCATTCTGTGGGTGGTCATTTGACCTTGTGGAATAGTCATTGGATGTATCGTAGTGTCAGTTGAAACCAGGGTCTTGATCATTTCATGCAAACATCATACAACTGAACTATACCCCTAAGCTCCAGAAGGATTTAATTCTCAGGATCAATTGTTCCTTTTTCTTTTGAGTTTTAATTTCCAGTTTTATGCCTAGGTATTTTAATCCATTTTGAGTGAGTTTACTTTGAGAACTATTGGTATATGTATATGTAATGTTTGAATGGGAAATGTCTCTCATTGGCTCAGATATGTGAGCCTTTGGTCCCCAGCTGGTGGTGCCACGTGGGAAGTTGATGGGAGGTACAGCTGTGCTGGACAAAGTATGTCATTGGGGGCAGGCTTTGAGAGTTCACAGCCCCATCCCACTTCCAGTTCACCCTTTGCTTTCTGTTTATGGTTAAAGATGTCAACTTTTAGTGTCACCCCCACCACCTGCTGCCATTCCTCCCCAACTCTTATGGCTTTGAGTAACCAGAAGCCAGAAGGAAAATTTCCTTCTGGCTTGGTCATGGTGTTTACCATAGCAACGGAAAGTAACTAGTATAGCATCTTAACAATCTATGGACATGGGCATCTGTCCATTTATTTACATCTTTTTAGCAGTGCTCTGTGGTTTGCAATGGATGAGCCTGTTTCCCTCCACTGCCAAGCTTATTCCCTTTGTTTGTTGATGGGAGATGTCATTCTGTAAATAAGTTTCTCTTATTGGTTAATGAATAAAGCACTGTTGGCCAATTGAAAAGCAAGATAGGGAGGAGATCCAAGATGGAGGACAGAGAGAGAACGCCAGCCCCTCTCACCAGTAAGATAAGATCACATGGAAATACTAGATTAATAGAAATGGGTTAATATTTAAAACAGAGGTGGCCGATAAGTAACTGGCCAACAGAATTATATCTAATACAGCATCTCTGTGTGTTATTTGGGGCTGGCGCTGTAGTGGGATCAAACTGGAGGGGACAAACTTACCGTAACAGTTTGTTTCTAGAGACAGTTTCTCTGTGTAACAGCCCTACCTGTCCTGGAACTAGCTCTGTAAACCAGGCTGGCCTCGTATTCACAGAGATCCTCTTGATGGGAGATGTCATTCTGTAAATGTTTCTCATACTGGTTAATGAATAAAGCACTGTTGGCCAATGGGAAAGCTAGGCAGGACTAGGAGACGAGGAGGAAAGAGGAAGTAGTAAGGAGGAGTCAAGATGGAGAGACTGGGGAGACAACGGCCCCATTCCCCCGTAAGATGAAAGCACATGGAAATAAGTATTAACCCATTTCTGTTGATCTACATAAGACAGAGTTAGCCCATGAGAAACTAGTATCTAGCCAACAGCATTATATCAAATACAGAGTCTCGGTGTGTTAACTGGGGCTGGTGCGGCGGCAGGACAAGACCGGTGGCGGGAGGAAAAAACTACTCCTTACATCTCCTGCCTCTGCCTCCTGTGCTGGGATTAAAGGCGTGACCCTGCTCCTATTTTATTGTTTTTGAAAAGATTTTTTTTTTTTTTTTCAATTTGGATGCCTTTTCTTTTTTAAGTTTAATTGTTCTGGCTAGACCTTCCAATTGAAGAGGGTATCCTTGTCATGTGTCCAGGTGGCATACATTTTCATTTCCTTTTTCTTACAGTATACATTTGGCTGTTGAGCTGCAGTCCAGAGAAATATAGCTGAGGATTTAGGGATAAAATTATTTTCTCTAGATGTGGCAATCATAATTGCCTGTGATGGCTGTGAGAAATGAATAGCTAGTTCCCAAATCCAGTCCAAGAAACTTCACAGAAACTTCCCTAAATGTATGACCTGCTTTTTTTCCAGTATAAACACCTGAAATGTAGAAGTGATCCGTTTGTCAAGATCGAAGGGAAGGACACTGATGACTGGCTGTGTGTGGACTTTGGTAAGTTACTGTTGTGCCGTTTACACACATTATTTAAACTTTGTTTTCAGCTACAAAAAGATGGCTGGAGTGTGCATATTAAGATTTTTGAAATTTGTTTCAAGTAACAAAAGTTTGATTTAATTACAGCTCAGGTGTTGTCATTCACATGTGAAAGCTTTGCCCAATCCAAGTATTCTATGTGCATAACCACCTCTTGGTAGAAGGCATACTATATGCTGTATATGTAAGGGGCCACACAGATGAGTAACAGTTGTATTAATATGCCAATTTCAAAACACCTCCCAGCCACATATATACTACTAAGGGAAAACAACAGCTATATGCTTATTTGGGGCCAGGAAGCAGGCATCTGAGATTTTAGCCTCCTTGCAAACTGTCAGTCACTATGGCTGTGGTCAAACACCATGACCAACTTGGGGAGAAAAAGGTTTGTCTCACTCACACTTCCATGTACCAGTTGATTACTGAAAAAAGCCATTAGGGCAAGAAGGAACCTAGAGGCAGGACCTGATGAAAAAGCCATGGAGGAGTGCTGCTTACTTGTGGCTTGCCCAGCCTGTGTTTTTATAGAACCACCAGTCAAGAGATGACGTGACCACACTCACTGGCTTGCCTGCTTATGTTATAGTCCAATCTTGAGGGGTTTTCTCAATTTCAAGTTCTCTCTTCCCAGATGATCATAGCTTGTGTCAAATTGACATGAAACTAGCCAGTTCACAAGCTAACAAGTTGCCTTTCCAATTTCATGAAGACCATTCTGAAAAAGCAGTGTGTTTCTTGCAGCAATGGCAGTAACCAGCATCATAAACTTTGTGTGGCCAGATAACATGTACACCAAGAGTCTATGGAGGAGGAGGGCCCATTTGCTGTGCTGTGAGACAGCAAGACTGTAAAATAGGGTTTCTCAGCTTTGTAACATTCATATTTTGGTCAGATGTTTTTGCTGTGGCCTCGGAGAACATCTTGACTACTGCAGAACTGGATGCTTATTAGCAGCATCTACTAACCTCTCTCCAGTTAGGATAATCAAAGATGTTTATAGACACTGAAACATTGCTACAAGCATTGTTGTCCTGAAGACAGAAAAGTAAAACCTGGGAGTCAGTTGATGATACGACCACAGGAATCTGACAGTTCAACTTGTATTCCCTTGGTTAAGGTTAACAACAGTCATCGATGCTACATGTTGACCTCATTTCTGTGCTAACAAAGGCACAGTATTGCTTTGTAGGAAAGGGTATACCATCTGCCCAGAAGTCTATGGTGAGGGACAGATACATTGATAAAAATAAACAAATGAATTTTCTTCATTATAATTTTTATCTGTTCTTGATAGGCAGTATGGTGATTCATTTGATGCTTCCAGAAACCAGAGAAACCTACGAATTAGAGAAATTATGGACTCTACGTTCTTTTGATGACCAGTTAGCTCAGATAGCAGCTGAGACATTACCTGAAGACTTCATTCTTGGATTAGAAGATGACCCTGCATCCCTGACTCCAGTGGAGTTCAAATGACAATAAACAAAGCAATGCCTTTCATCCCTTAGATGTGTCTGAGCCATCTGCTTGGTCACTACAAGTTGTCTAGCTCTTGGACACTCATGCTGATAACGGCTGTGGAGAGACCGTAGATAAACTAGCTCACAGACCAAGAACCAGTAATATAATCCAGTTTTCAGCACACTGTTTTACTCTTGAGATCCTATCTGGGTTAGAATCCTAGTACTGATCTCTAAGATCAAATTTACTAATCTTTACAGAAAACTCGAGTTAATTTGTAGACATGCAAATCTGTAGTTATTAGTTCATATTAAGTAGAATAATCAAGGTTCACTGTAATGTACCAGGCAGGGCTGAAAAAACAACTTATCAGTAGGTAGAGCACTGCCTAGGATAAGATGTATATTGTAGAGACAGATTCAAGAACACTCAACTGAAAAACAGTACAAAAAGCTGTGGCTTATGATGAAAACTTTATTCTGCATCAAGGTACCTGGAAAATGAAGCTGCATTTGGGGCACATTATAGATGAGAAATGATCCATATATGGTGAATACAAAACTCAAGTAGAGCATTACTCTTTGTACCAGGTACTCCACACTACCAATGCTCAAGTGAAAGTGAAACATGATTTGCCACTCTAAAAGGCTAGATGTGAAACATGGCAGAACTGAAACCAGCAGATATAAATGTAGCACCTGTTAGTTTAAAAAAAAACCTGTAGAAACCAAATATCGGGGAAGTCCCCTGGCCTTGAACACATCTCCCCTGAAATCCAAGCGGGAGAGCACTTTTTTTTAAAATCAGTTTAAATCCATCATATGAAAAAATATGAATGCTAGATGAATTCAGTTGTAAAGGGGGCACTTTTTGGTTTAAACTACAAAATAAACTGGTTTTATGAAAATTTTTAGAAAAAAATTTCAAATTGTTTTCATAATGTCTAAATGATATACTTGCTGATGTTCAGTTAATCTTGAAATACAAATGAGGCAAAATGACTTTTTGAAGGGTTACATAATGCCCTCAAGGCCAGTGTAACCACCTTATGAACAAAGTAACAAAAACAATTCAGAGAGCAGCATGGCCTTGAGGACCACCCTTGAGTATCCATACAGGGCTTTGCCACTAAGTGGGGGGAGGGGCAAAGGGTTTTTCCTTTCAACATTCAGGTGTTTCCACAGTCATTTTCCCAAAACCATTTGCTGCCTTCCCTGCCTGTACTTACTGTCAGGTGAGCAGGGTACACAGAAACCCTGCTACATTCCAGATTGCATTTTCAATGAACTTACTTCCACTCCGTAAAAAAAAATCTTCCAAATAGCTTAGTTAGGCTGGCTCATGCCAGCGCCCGGCACAAGGAGACAGCTTTTTGTTGCCTTCACTGTCACAGCACCTGACTCACCCTGGTCTCCACAAAGCAGTTCTCTGGGTGTCTGCTCACAGTAGCACCTGATCTCACTCATGTTAGCAAGCTGAGCATCCTGAGAGACAAACTCAAGCTGATTTTGTTTAAATTCTGCATTTCTCCACTGATGCATTTCCTTTAGGTAGTGACAAAGCATTTATGCGTTCACACGCATAGCTAAAATAAATCCCAGTCTTTCGAAGCTCTTTTCAGACTAGCCATTCCAACGCCCACCACAGCTCTGCCGTTAGTGCCTTCAGCCTTGCCAACTGTAAAGAGGAGTACATGGCATCACTGCTCTCCAACAATAGGCACTGCTTCATTCAAATCTTCGAACTTTATTGGACTTTTCCAACTACTGTCAAAAGGCTCAAAAAAATGCAAAATTAATTTTCCAACTTAACTGTCACCAGCCAGACTAAAATTCTTTCTCAATTATTTGCCTATCAGCTGATAACTGTTAAATTTTATTTTTTTTAAAAAAACGGTTGGAGTTTCTTTATAAAGTATATAAAATTTTCAAAAAAGGAATAATTTTGCTTTTAACTGTATTACTGAATACCTGAGGTAGTTGAGTAAAAATGCACGTTTAATACCCCGCCCGCAGCGGTGGGCACTTCCCTTAGGTTATCCATGTTAGTGTTAGAGAAACAGGAAACAGTTCTACTCTAATGGCTTAACGGCACGTTCCTGTGGGAATTCTACTGTGATCCAATTTCAACAATTGGACTTAGGAACAATCTATTTTTTCTAATTTATTTGATGAATTTAGTGAATGTACCATTTATGCCAATTTCTGGCATTATAGAGGATGTTAAAAATGAGCACATTTGTTATACTCTGATATCACAAGGGAAGTGCACAGTTTTTTTTTTTTGTTCCCTACCCCCACTTTTTTTTTTTTTTTTTTTTTTTTTTTTAAAGCTGGGTGTCATACATTTCAGAGAGCATAAAGTATACATTCTCACAGAGACAGTTCAAGTTGCCTGGTCCTCAGAAACAACCGGCTAGGGAAATGCCCGTGCATGTGATTCTGGATGGGTCAGCACCCGTCTGTTGGTTAAGCAAATCTGTCTTTGGTTTGGCATCTGCCTCTGTGGTGGCTGTCTCCTGAGCCCTTACTTCCTCCTTGACTGAGGGGGTCCACTCTGCAGAGCCTTCTGCTGCTGGTGCTGCTTCACCTGAGACAGGATTTCCTGAATTTTCCTCTGGGCAACCTACAAAAGGACAGACTTCACAGAATCCACATAGTCCAAAGTTTCTAAGTTACTCTATCTCAGAGCATCAAGCTGAAATACTTAGTGTGCTGGCTGAAAGGAAAACCAGATGCACTGGGGCTGGAGAGATGGCTCAGAAGTTAGGAGCACTGACTGCTCTTCCAGAGGTTCTGAGTTCAATTCCCAATAACTACATGGTGGCTCACAAACATCTGTAATGAGAGCAGTACCTTCATGGCTTGCATGGGTGCAGACAGAAAGTTGTATACATAATAAATCCTTACAAATAAGTAAACAACAACAAATCAGATGCACCAAGCACAGCCAGGGACAGTGTGCACTGAGGACAAAAGCTGAAGTATGGGAACCTCTGAGTTCAAGGCTGCCTGGCTAATAGCAGAACAGCATACTTCCACACACCCACCCAACACTTTGAACCCTAAACACCCAAGAGGTTCACATATGAATGTGGAATGGGAAGCCTCATGACAGCAAGAACTTGGCACTTTAGAAGCCACTTGCCTGGCAAGCATAGAAGTGGCCAGTTATTTTGACAACAACTTGGTTATTCTCATCAGGTGTCTGGTCACGGGGGACAACAACTTCAGCACTTGATAAATTCTGGAGTTCATTCACCTAGAATAGAGAAAATCCTATTACTAAGCATTTAAAGCCTGTTTCCAAGCAATTACTATATGCTGGGCACACAGCTCATTTCATCCATTAACCTTTCACTAGGCTACAGTTCCCATTTTAACATGACTAGAACTAAGGCTTGGCCAAAGAAATTCAGTTCTGCTCAGGGTGTGTTCTATATATATTACTTCAAAGCTATACATTTGGAAATGACTTTGTTGAGAAAGTCTGCAAGCTACTTTTTTCAGTTTGATATTTGTAAAATTTCAGTTCCTGTCCCTTTAGGGTTTATAGAATATTGTATGTGTTGGATAATGCTGGACATCCCTTACAAGTTAAGTCCCTGGTCTGAAAAATGCAGAAGTCTCACTAGCAGGTTAGAGTCACAAGGGAACCTCTTCAAACACTAGGGGGTGGACCCACCACTTCTTATAAACTAGCCAAAGCTCCGCGGGTGGGGGATGGTGGGGGGTGGCGGGAAGCTATGTCTGTGTAGAGCCTCCTTGCATCATGGCACAGCCCCGGCTGGGATACTTGCCGTTTTGCCTCCTTTCCCAATGACTCTGCCAGCAGCAAACGATGGCACTCTGATATGAGCTTCAAGCTTCACCTCTTCTTTAGGACTAACGAAGTTTTCTTCTTTAATTTTCCCGTAAATTCTTCCCTGAGCCTATAGATGACAAAATAGCCTATCAGTGTCAGTCATAATTGAAAACAAAAGGTTGGTTAACTTTGAATGCAGCCTAAATCAACCTGGAATATACAACCATAGCAGTGGTACAGCAGTATCTGGGATGAAGACTGACAGCTGCATAACGTACAGCAGCCAGGAGCCCCAGAAAGGGTTGACAGTAACTGTTTCATAGGCAAGGCAAATGAGTTAAACCAGGGAGCAGAGTACAATGATGCATTTGTAATGATGTCATTGTGAGACCCATTCTGCACACCAACTACAAAGAAAAAGCCATATTCTGTTGCAAATTAAGGTAATTAGTAGGACCAACTAAAAATGACTTTATGGGAAATGACCATTCCCACTCAAGCCTCTCCTCTGACAACAAGAAATAGATTGCATTTTTCTTGAGCAAAAGAAACTAGGAAAGAACTACATACAGGTTCCAAGGAGCCAAGGCCATGTCTAAATGGAAGAGACACCACCAACACTGAAGACTTTCCATTTAAACTACTCTCTTATTGAGGTACCTGATTTTAGCTCTATGGAGGTGAAAATGCTGGCATGTGTGTACTTACAGCACTTGGGAGGCTGAGGGGGAGCACTGCTGTACTCTGAGGCCAACCTGGGCTACAGAGTGAGATCCTGTCTTTTTCCTCCCTGTCCCTAAAATGCTGCAGAAATCCAGTTAGTGGACACTTATGGTACTCCACTTACTTGCCCTGTGTACTGTGTACAACTACATACTGTATATAAGGAATCTCCTGTGCAACCATTAATTTATTTTCATACACTTCAAGAGAGAAAGACATCTAAGTTGGGAAGTTATTAGGCTCATCTGACAAGCTGCTAAGACAAACCATAAAATGAATAAAGCACTGTTGGCCAATAGGAAAGCAAGATAGGTGGGACTAGGAGACAAGGAGGAGTCAAGGAAGTAGTAGGAAAGAGGTCCCAGTAAGATGAGACCATGTGGAAATACTTATATTGATAGAAATGGGTTAATAGTAAGACAGAGCTAGCCAATAAGAAACTAGCAACTGGCCAACAGCTTTATAGTAAATACAGCATCTCTGTGTGTTATTTGGGGCTGGCAAGGTGGGGAGCTGAGG